CTGTGGGTGCTGGCGCGGTGCTGAGCTGTGGGTGCTGGCATGGCACGGCATGGTGAGGCAGCACAGCCCAGCCTGGTGCTGTCAGCAGCGTGTCAGCGGATGTCTGAGCGCCGCGCTGAAAAGGGCACCGCTTGGCATGCTCTGCTGTGCCAAGAGGACATCAAAAGATGTACAGCCTCAAGTGAGGCCTTGCATACTAGTGGGTTGGGTGCGGGGAAAAGCTTTGACTTCCACTAGTGCCCAGCTGGAGTGTGTGGTGCTGGTCCCCCCCGCCCCCTTTTTTTCCCCGCCAAGGCTTCTTCCATCTAAGTAGGAAGAAATAGGAATTAGCGTGGTTCTCCGAACCAGCCGCACCAGACAAACCAGCTCAGGAGCTGCCAGAGATGATGCCAAGCTCTGCTTGAGGAATCCCAACCAGCAGCCAAGCTGGCTTGGCTGGAGAAAGGAGATCTCCATCATGTTCAGTGCCCTGATTCACAGTCCTTGGGAACCCCCTGGTGCTGCCGTGCAATGGCAGCACGGCCCCAGTGAGGAGGCAATTCCCAGGGCTCTCCATCCCTGCCCACTTCCCTGCTGTCCCTGCTGCTTGCATGGGGGAAGAAGTGTCTCCAGTCGTAGCTGAAGGGCAAGGACTGGAACTAGCAGTGGAAAGGCAAGAGCTGGGAGGATGGAGGGTGCTGTGGTATGCGTAGAACTGTGGGTGGGTTGTCACTCTGCCTGGTGTGAAGGAGAGCTTCCAAAGCTGGCGGTTGGCTTTCTCTCCCTGCAAAGGTAATCTTATGAAACAGGAGTGATTTGCAGCTTTCCTGCTCTCTCCTCCCAAATCTGGAGGAGTCGCAGCTGAGGATGAAGTCAGCTTGGAGAGCAAGGTGTACTCACACCCCACCCCGCTCCTCTGCGATAACATCTCACTAACCCCGGGGCACGGAGCGCATCTGCTCTGCTCCTGCCCACCCGGTGCTGGGACCCTCGCTAGGGAATTCCCAACCCCTGCTCTGGCTGCCTGGGAAGCAGAACTGGGAGGAAATGGGAGTAACAAGCTGTTACTTGGGAGCAGGGATAGGGGGAAAGCCCCAGAATCACGTAAGGGGACCTCTCTGCTTCATTTGCACTTGGCAAAGGGCTACTGCAGTGAGGTATTTCAGAGCTGTGAGCCAGTTCGTCCCCCGCAGCTTGATATCTGTATGGAAAAGAAATAACTTGTTCCTCTGTCCTGTCTTGCAATGACTCTGGGCATCTAAATGGCCTCTGAGAAAGCACCAGCCCATCTGTCCACCCCATGGGTAGCTGGAAGCCTCTCTTGGGTATGCCACATCTCCATTATCCTCATTGAAGGCAGACCTTGACTGAAAATCGTTGTCCTGCTATTCAAAACCCTTCCTAGGACTGGTCCTGGTGACCCCCAAGGTCTTCTCTCTCCTTGTCTGTGCTCCTTTGTGGCAGCTCTGGAGCAATTATGTCTGGCTGGCAGGGGTGGGGTGCAGCTGGGGTTGGTGGCCGGGAACATCTGGGTGCTCTAAGGTGGGATAAGTGCCCCAGGTTGTGTGATGGGGTGGTGGAGAGCACCGCTACCGCTGCCCTGGGGGAGCGGGTCTCCAGTGCAGCGATGGGATATGGGTACACACACATTTCCATCCATCTATATATTACTTATCTCACTCCAAGACGGCAGCAGCGGCTGCTGCTGCATCCCTTTTCGGAGCTGCTATTGGCCAGAAATGATGTCAGTGCTTCCCAGGCTGGGTGCACTGCCATTGGCGGTGAGCAGGGATGCGGCTGTCAGCTGGAAGCGCTCCAGTCATTCATGGGGACTTCAGTGTGTGTTTGCTGGGCACACTTGGGCACAAATAGATGGTGAAAGATCTGGAGGAGCCAGGTGAGCACTTAGGGCTTCACTTTTAACTCTTTCTGGGGTTGGGATGGAGCGCCCTCCATCCCCTCTTGCATCCTTGTGGAGGGCCAGACATCCGCTTGTCTCTTTCCTTGTGCTGGTAGCAGCGTGCTGAAAGCACCCCATCACCCCCTGCCATGTGCAGCCCAAGGGCTGCTGCGCTGGGGCACATCCCCCTGTGCTGCTCAGTGGCCTTTGGACACCAGGAGAAGCTCT